GTCTTATAGGGTTTATACTGAGTACAATATTGTATAACTGTAATAATTCAACTGTAAATCTAAAAATTTGCAGCCAATTTTGAAAGAGATGCATCTTAGCTCTGGAAATTGTTATTGAATATGTCAATGCTGTTGTAATGAAATGCTTCTTCTAATTATATGGTTATTAAATAATTTAAATTAAAAAATTTATGTATATGAGTGTGTTGCTTGCATGTATATAAGTGTACCTGTGCCATGGAAATAGGTCAGAAGAGGGCGTCGGATCCCCAGGATTTACGACAGTTGTTAGCCACCATGTGGGTGCTGGTAATCGAGCCCGTGTCCTCCATAAGAAAAGTCAGTGCTCTTAACCACTGAGCCATCTCTCCAATCCAAGAACTTTTAAATGCCAGGCAAAGATTCACATTAAGGAATAAACTGCCACATTTAGCCATTCCAGAGGATCACACAGTTTGTCTTAATTCCTGCTCCAGTTGGAGCAGAGTGACTTAATAGTAAGTTTTTATATATGACATTTTAAATAACTGAAGATGTGATTGTACAGGACTGAATTCTTGGAATGGGAGTGAAAGGAGATTTGTACATTCAGTACTATAAATGCAGTCAAAAAAACATGATCTAAGATGATTATAATGGGAGCCTGTTTCAAGCTGGTAACAAAATGTCAGAAGTCAAAATTATTATTTTTTTTAGTCTGCTAATGTATGAAATACATTCACTAAGAAGATGTGAAGGGAAAGAACACCAGTGTTCAAAGGATATGGAATTATGATTAAAGATGTTCCTGGTGAGATCAAGTAGACAGGTCATAAATCATTTAATTTCATTGACTTTGTGATCAGAGACTTTAAAGTGAATCCTAATTTTTAATACGTGGTTTTAGTTACAAGGGAGATATGACACGAATATGTTATAAAATTCAATAAATTGTCACCACTAATTAACATCCTTATTCATGATAGACATTGCCTTATCTTCTACTTTCAAATGCATTTACAGAATGAACAGATGCCTTTTTGTATTTCTTAAGATCCCAACCTAGATTTCATAGCTCTTAGAGAAAATTGCTATTTAAAATAATTTTGCAGGGACTAGAGAAAAGACTCAGCAGTTAAGAACATTGGCTGCTCTTGCAAAGGACCTGGGTTCAATTCCCAGCAGTTAAGAACACTGGCTGCTCTTACAAAGGACCTGGGTTCAATTCCCAACACCCATGTGGTAGCTAACAACCATTCTAATTCCAACTGCAGGGAATATGATGCCCTCTTCTGACTTTCTGCGTGCATCGCACAACATGGGTGCACTTAACACACATGCGGGCAATACATTCATATACATACAATAAAAGTAATAAATAAAACATAAAAAATAATAATTTGGGCCGGGCATGGTGGCGCATACCTTTTATCCCAGCTCTCGGGAGGCAGAGGCAGGCGGATCTATGTGAGTTCAAGGCCAGCCTGGTCTTCATAGTGAATTCCAGGACAGCTGGGGCTACAGGGAGACCCTGTCTCAAAAAGACCAAAAAATAATAATAATAATGTGGAGGCTAGGGTAGGGGGCCTGCCAACTATGCATGACACCTTGACTTTAATCCCAAGCACCATTATAATATAAAAATAAATAATTTGATGGATTTTGCTGTCCTCAATAACAGTGGTAAAATAACTTCAATTTTAGCAAGGAATTAAGTGGAATGACAACTTGGATAATTAAATGTATTCTTATAATTTAATTAGTATATTCAGCAATTAAACCAAAGTCAGGTAATTTATCTAATGATAGAGCTAAGATAATACTCATTTTATCCATGTTCAGCTGGATCCAGAACGAAGCTTGTTTGACCAAGGAGTAAAAACAGATGGAACTGTACAGCTTAGTGTACAGGTAATTTCTTACCAAGGTAAGTTACTTTCATTGACAATTATTTAACAGTTTAGCTCATGTTTTTCTGATGTGTATGTATGTTGGAGGTGTTTTAGATGATTGTCTAAATGAGTTGAGTGATGTAGCTGAATACTCTTGCTTTTGTTTCAGTAGTTGTGTCAGGGTGAAGATGGAAGAATAACACATTCCACCAAATTAGCAAAAGGGATGTGTTATACTGTAGTAAGTAGAGTCACAAGCAAAGCTGAAAGTACACGTTCTAGCTAACTTCTCAGAAGACCTCACTCAACTGCACTGCAGAGTAGACTGTCAAGGAAGCTGATGCTCTACAGTGATCTGTAAAACCCCACATCTGGAAGCCACACTATAGCCATCAACTTGGAGCTGTGCTATGAGCCACACTAGTGTCAAATGGATGTATTGGGTGCCTGCTTTCCCCTTTTAACTCATACCAAATAAAAGACTTAATGCCAGTTAGTGTAGAACCTAAATCACATCTAGACATCCCTACCTGCAAGGAAATTAGGCTTTCTAGTTTAGCACAGAGAGAATTGCAAAGGATATAGAGTAACACCACTAGCTACATCCAGCACAGCGTTTTACTAATCATGTGCAAATACATCAGAGAGAGGAAAATTAGAAAACCATTTTTCAGTGGACTAAATTTTAGCTTTAAAAAATATGGTTAGCCAGGAGTGCTGGTGCATGCCTTTAATCTGACCAATCACTTGCATACGGATCTCTGTGAGATTGAGGCCAGCCTGATCTGCATAGCAAGTTACAGGCAAGCTGGGGATACAGGGAGAGTCTGTCAAAAAAAAATTGATTTCTTGAGATTTCTAATAGAGTCTTAATATAATCTCTGAACACATTATTTGCTTACAATTGTGTTCCACACCAACGTTCTCTTTGGGCTTTGAAAATGGAAGTTAATTTACTTGTGATCCTTAATTCCCCTGGGATTAACTATTCTAAATATGAAGAGAAACTCATTGCTTTTATCTTTCAAAGCCCAGTGACATCTCAATGCAAGTTTAAAAGACTTGACTTGATGTCATTAAAATAATGACGTTTAAACTGGGTAAGGTGCCTTATAATCCTATCACTTAGAAGAGAGGAGGCAAGCCTTGGCTATATGGTGTGAGATCTTATCTAAGAAAAAAACAAAATTAAAAAAAAATTTAGATGGTATGTTAGCAAATAAAGTATGAAATTTATATGCAGGATTAGGGAATGAATTTTAGGGAAAAAATTTTAATTGATTGTTTTTATCATGTATTTGAAAAAGTGACTTCTTTATAGTGAGTGATAATACATTTTCTTAAAATAGTTTTCATGAGAGAATAAAGCTGAGTTTTACTTTTTCTTTAAAATTTGCTTTGACTAAATTTTGATTTAGATTCTAATAGATTCACTAAGTTACTACTGTTAAGTAATATGATAGAACCCAGGCGTAGTGGTGCACACCTTTAATCCCAGCACTTGGGAGGCAAGGCAGGTGGATCTTTGTGAGTTCGAGGCCAGCCTGGTCTACATAGCCAGTTCCAGGCCAGCTGGGGCTACAGGAAGACCCTGTCTCAAAAAGACAAAAAAAAAAAAGAGAGAGAGAGAGAGACAAATAATAATATGATTGTTTCATCCAGTAGGTTTCAGAAAATAACATTAGAACATATTTGAATGTGACTGTTAAACCTCAGATCACTAAAAATTTAATCATTGTTTACTGTTACTAATTTTAGATGCTAGCACTGCATGTGCTGTGTTTATTTGGTTTTTACTAAAAAAATTGAACACACACAAAAGTAATTAGACAACTTCCCAGAGCTGTCATTTTAAAATTCTTATGAGGAAGTTGAGGCCGGAACGTTGTCATAAATTTGAGGACAGCTTGGGCTGCATAGTGAGTTCAGGGCCAGTCTGGGGTTTCAGACTCCGAGATCTGGTCTCACAAAAGCAAAATAATAATAACTTTATGAGATTATTTCAGAAAATTAGTTTATTCTATTTTTAAAACATTTTTATTTGAGAATGTAATACAATGTATTTCGATCATATTCACCCCATCCCTCACAGTTTATTATTTTTATCTAAGTATAGTTGTATACACATTGCCCATATGGTATAATTTTTAAACTTCTAATTTCTGGAACATCTTTTTATCTGACTAAATGGCCATTGAGGAGTCTCTATTGAGAAATCATTTACCTCATCTTACTTTTCTCCTTTCCCGTACTTACTTACTTTGTTTGTTTGTTTGTTTGTTTGTTTGTTTGTTTTTGAGGCAGGGTCTTACTGTATAGTCCTGGCTCTCCTTGTGCCTCTGCTGGGATTAAAGGCAGGTGTCCACCATGCCTGGCTGAATTACAGTCCTTAATATAAGGTTTGAATATCTAGGATTGGGGTTAATTGATGTGAATTTATTGAACAAAGTCAGAAACAATTTTAGCATCTGTACTTCTCCTTTAAAAAGAAGGCAAAGGGACTATGGAGATGGCTTAGTCTTTAAAGTACTTGTTTTGCAACCTATGAAGACCCCAGCACCCATATAAAACCTTGGACAAAAATCTGGTACGTGCCTGTCATCCCAGGTCTGGGGAGGCAGAGACAGGAGGAGAGTCCTTAGGACTTGTGGACTAGGTAATCTAGCTAATTGGTGGGGTTCAGATTCAGTGAGAGACTGGTTCAAAAAATAATGTGGAGAAGATGGAAAAAGGTGCCGTACATCAACTTTGGCCTATCTCTAGTGTAGTTTCAGTTTCTTCCCTGTTGATGCTTTTTATTCTTTTTTTTCTTTAATATTACTGTTGTAAGAAGTGGTACTTTTTTTCTAATGATATTTGAAGTTAATATTTGTAAAATTGTGTGTACACATGTGTGTACATGCTAATTATTATACAGAAATATTAAGACTAGTTTAAATAATTTTTGAATATTTTTTACCCAGATGTTAACTTTTATTACTTTTATTTTCTCTTTTCAAACACATCATGTTTTCAACCATTTTTTTCAACAACTTTCCAACTATTTCAGGATAAATTATATACATGATCATTTTCTATCTCTAAATATTTTATGAGCATCTGTGTTTCCTTAAAAGCAAGGATCATGGGGCTGAGCTGTAGCTCAATGATGGAGTGCTTGCCTGCTATATGTGAGACTGGTGTTGACGCCAGCCCTGCAGTAAAACAACACAAGAATTCTTTTATTTGATCATATTATAGTTCCCCAAATCAGAAAATTATTATTGGCCCAGTACTGTTCCTATCAAAGCTTTATTGAAATCTATTGCTAACAAAGATCAGTTAAATTCATTAATATTTTGTTGAAAATTTAAAGAAGTATTTTCCTCTTTACATTTGGAAACATAAACTTAATTTACTTTTCTTGTGACTCATGGTTTTATTTAATTTTTTTTTTAATCTACTGTTAAGGAATTGAACCAAAGCTAAACATTCTTGAAATTGTTAAAACTGCGGAAACAGTTGAAGTGGTTATTGATCCAGATGCCCACCATGCAGAGGCAGAAGCACATCTCGTGGAAGAAGCCCAAGTGATAACTCTTGATGGCACAAAGCACATAACAACTATTTCAGATGAGACCTCGGAACAAGTGACAAGATGGGCTGCTGCCCTGGAAGGCTATAGGAAAGAACAAGAACGCCTTGGGATACCCTATGGTAATGAACAGCTGTCGGTTAGGTAGAATAAGACTTAAATTTGACATAGGAAACACCATTAGGGTAAGATACAATCTATTTTAAATGTAGAATTTTTAGAAAGAATATTGATGTTAGCTTGCTTGTTTTTTTGTTGTTGTTTTTTTGTTGTTTTTTACTTGATTTTTGAACTGTTAAGAACATATAATGAGCAAATACTATGCAGGTTGTTAGGAATACAAAGATTCTTTTAAAGAATTTCTGCCTTTAGCAGTTCACGGCACAGTTGAACAGAAAGAAGATAAGTGAAAAGAGGTGATTGTCAGTAGAGAATAATACTTTAGCTGTCAACAACTGATAACAAAGCATGCTTTTAGAATTGAGGTTTTGAGGCAGAGCATCTCAGGGAATGCTGGTTGGAGATTGAAGCAGTGGTTCCTGAATTCAAGGCCTGCCTGGGCTCATGGAGCAGCCCTCCTCTCAGAACAAACCAGAGTCTCATAAGCATCAGAAGAGCCTGAGAGAAAATGGGAGACACTTTATTATAGATGCGAAACCATACTATAGCAAACGTCATTTCAAAAAGGGATAGTTCAGCACAGAGCTTGCTTCCACCTGGATGGATGCATGAGTAATGAGAATATAGTGGGTTGAGAGTTATTCTCTTACGTTGTAGAACTGTTTTTGATCAGTGACAGTGACAGTTGAAAAATGAATGTTGTACTAGCCAATCCCATCAGGTCATGGAGAGACTGGGTAGAGAGAAAACAAAAGCATGTTGTTTGTACAATATTGACAATGTACAGATAGGCATAGACTAGGTGATTTTCTTTGGCAGTAAAAAGGAAGGGGTAAGTGAAAACAACAATGAGAAGGTTGACAGTTTGTAAACATAGAGGGGATTTGAGTACTGACCTAGTGTCTCAAGCTTGAGTGACTAGACAATAAAAATTTTGATGCCTGCTAGTTGCATCTTCATAACGTGTGTAATGGAACAATAATACAGTATGCCAGGCACTGTGGTAAATTCTGGGCTGCTGCTGCCGCATAGGCACAAAGCATACCTTTGATGACATGTCCTCTATCCCCATGGAGGACTGGCCCTAGTACCTTGCTAGACAAGCACTGTACCTTTGAGCTACATCCTAACCCTTAGAACATACCTTGGAAAGCTGCTTTGAGGAAGCAGAGAAGTCTCATATGGGAAAGATTTCCTAAGGAAAAGTGATGGCACTTGATTTCAAAATGAAGCACATAATCAATTAAGGCAGCCCTAACATAGACAAACCTTTGGCTAGAGATAAAGATGTTGTATGGGACTCTTTGGATTTGGATTTGAAGCCATAAAAGTAATATAGTCTCTGGTGAAGAGAAACAAGATTGAAAAGAACACAGTATTAACCACTGGTTCTAGGACTGTACCTTTAGGGCTGGAGAAGGGAGACAAACGTATAGCTGAAGAGGTAGAAGGAAAATAACTATCTGGTATCACTGCTATTTTAGTTCAGAACTCTGCAATGCTTTTGAGGAAGCCAAGAATACTGGCTTGAGTAGTATCTATCTTGGTGATCATAGGGTCATTGTTAAATTTAGGTTTTAAAGTTACTGTAGGGTTTGAGAGGCAAAGCTGAATTATAATCTACATTTTAGAAATGGAGAAAATTCATTAGAAGCTTTTGGAGGACTAGAAAGAAAAAGTGGTAGGGAAACAAAAATTAGACATTTGGTAGTGAGCTTGTCATTCCCTCAACAATATAACAACTACTTACATTGCATTAGGTATTTTATTTAGACATGGTTTGAATTTACATGGATCCATGTGCATAGGTTATATGAAAATACTGCACCATTTTATAGGACTTGGGGGTCTGTGGAATTTGGTGCCCCTGAGGAGTTGGGAGTATCCTGGAACCAATCCCCCATAAATACCAAGGGATAGCTGTATGTGGTTCCTTATTTGTGACATGTAGAAATTTACTTTGGGCATGTGGGAAGCTAGTGTGGATAGTGTTTTGACCTTTGTGTTAGCAAGTTAGGAATCTGAGAGCAATGCTGAGAAGGAAAGAGCATGAACGCTTGAAGCAGTATTTCACAAGAGCTTGCTGTTCTTTGCAAGAAGTCTTCAGTTAGTAGAGTCTTAGGTAAACGAGTAATATTTTCCAGGAAATTATCATTTTAAGTTTGTCTTTCTATGCCTACAAATAGTTTTTTGACTAATTTATCAATTCTGTGCAACATTGAAATAAAATTAACTCATTATAGCTTCTTGAAATCTCTTTGAAATATTGATCCACATTGGGAAATCTGGAGTTCATATTAGTACACATCACTTTTATATCTTGGCAGCAGCTCTGAACCATTTCATTCATGTGGTTATAAGTGTGAATATGTATATGTATTTTATTTTAAATTCTTAGTTTTTCTTATTTTTTTTTTTGTACTTCCTATTAAATGAGTCTGAGGATGCAATTAAAGTTAATAAATATATAGTAATTCAAAATCTGACCAAAGAGATGGACTATAAGAAATACTGAAACTGAAGGGCTGGACTTTGCACAACATGAATGTACTTACACATGTGAGAACACAGTGCTTGTCCCTCCAGAGGACATAAAAATTTCCAGATGAAGAGAGGCTAGGCCATACTAGACACTGAACTTACTAGTGTCTTCATCTTAGACTTTAGCTAGTAGGATTGTGAGAAATAAATTTTTGTTGTTTATAAATTACTCAAGGGGGCTAGAGAGATGGCTCAGTGGTTAAGAGCACTGGCTGCTCTTGCAGAGGACCTGGGTTCAGTGCCTAGCACCCACATGGTGGCTAATGACAGTCTATAACTTCAGTTTCAGGGGATCTGATGCCCTCTTCTGACCTCTGTGGGCATTACATGATGTGGATGCACTTACATGTAATCAATGCATTCATACACAGAAAATACAAATTAAAAAAGAAATACTAAAACCGAATAAAAACAAACTCAAAGTTAAAATATTTATCCTTGTCCTTTATGAAGTAAGAATATTGAAATGATTGCTAGCCTGAGATTAGTTTTCTCTAATAGATTTTTTTAATTCATGATTTTTCTTCAGAATTGTCAGATAGTAGCATTTGTGTGAGTGTGTGTGTGTGTGTGTGTGTGTGTGTGTGTGTGTGTATTCACACACAATAAAATATTAATGGCTCTCTCTCCCACACTGGTAAATTCTCATTTGTTGTCTGTCTTGCAAGTCTGATGTAAGAAGAGGAAACTTCTCTACGAAACAGTTCTGTACCATTTTCCTGTTGTCAGGCCTGCTTCCTAGCTCTGACTGTGTTAGATTTGACTGCTTTTGTTCATTGTTGACATCCCTTGTGGTAAATGATACTTATCTAGCTTCTGTATAGAACAGAGTACAATTTTTACCCTGCCCTATTTGGCAACTTGCTGGTGTGTGTGACAGGGGTTGTTTTATTTTGTTTATTTGAGATGAATTCTTCCTGTATTTCCCAGGATGGACTTGAACTTGTAGTCTTCAGCCTAAGCCTCCCAGTTAACTGGAATTACAGGCATGTACCTGGTCTCCCTTTCCATTTTATGATATTGCTTTGTAGCTATTGTTTAAATCAGTAGCCATTGTATATCTTAGGATTGCTTATTATATAACCATGATTATAGCTATGTAAGTCTGTTTTCCTTAGTTCAAAGTTGAATTCTTTTTTGTTTGTTTGTTTGTGTGTTAGTTTTTGACAGCCTCATTCTGTAGCCCAGCCCAGGCTTTCCTGGAATTTACTACATAGCCCAGAATAGCCTTGATCTTAGAGCAATCTTTGTGAGTCAGCCTCCCGAGTGTGATTTATTTTCTCATTATAAGGACTTGTACACATATCAACACTTTTTTCTCCCACTTGGGTCATTGGCTGCTGGTTCTTGCTTTGCAGGTGTGTCTGAATGAAGCCATCTCCACACAAGCTCCAAGCTGTTTGTCTTAGCCTTTCTGCCTCGGTGGTGCTGAGTCTCCATTTTTCCAAATCTCTTATTTTCCATTTTTATAGTGTTAGCCTCTTGTTTTAATTACTGTTCTTTCATTCTGTTTGCCAATTCTCGTGAAAGGTTATCTAAAAATATTTATTGAGGTTTACCCTTCTGAAAAATCTATGTTCTACTCTTTCTGTGGTAGTAGTATCTGTATCAAATATTAGAATTGAAAATTCACTTTTCCTTAAAGTTTTGGGTGACCCTATTCCATTATGTCACAGTATGAAACATTCAGGGGCATCTTAATTCAGGTTTGTGAGGATGGAGGCTTTTTATCTACTCTTTATGTCTGGTCACTCTTAGTGACAGTGTGAGTTTTTTTCCTTCGTTGTATTCTGAATTGGTGTGCATATATTGTTTTTTGTATTATATGTATATATTCATTTAATACATATTTGAAGAATAACCTCACCTTGTATTTTAAGTCGGTGTCCTCCTTTGATCATTACTATCTGGAATAGCACAACCTGAGCAGTGTAAGAAGTTTTGGAAAGAATTCTTACTTCTTTATTGGGTCTTTCTGGGTAGACATTTTAGATCATGGTTTCTCCTTACCTGGTAAATTGATTATTGCCCAGCCTGTTGTTTTTGAAAAATTAATTGAAATCTGGATGCTCTGCTCTTATATCTTTAAAAAAAAAAACAAAAAAAAAAAAAAAAAAAAAAAAAAAAAAAAAACTGGGAGGCAGAGGCAGGCGGATCTCAGTGAGATTGAGGCCAGCCTGATTCACATAGTGACTTCCAGGCGGCCTGGGACTAGGGAGACCCTGTCCAGAAAGAAAATCCTTCATTTCACTTGAATCTTTGAGAAAAGAGACAAAAAACACATGGCCAGTTCAATATGTTAAGCCAGAAGTCCTGATACTATTTGAGGAAAACAAGTCAGGCTAATGTTTTCCTTGCCTTACTTGACACTGTTAGTTTCTCGTCAATTTTGATATAAAATGAGCTTGCTTGCTTAAATTTTGAAAGGGCAGTGTGATTCAAGGTAACTTTGCTAACAGCAGAACCTTCCTGTTGTTTTCAGGGAACATTCTGTAGCTGAGCAGCTCTTTCTCAGCTAGTCTGTTGCTTTATTCATTCTTGTATTCTCTTTCTGCCCCTCTGTCCCCCACTTTTCCCTCTGCTTCTTCCTCTTCCTTCCCTTCCTCCCTCCTTCCTTTCTTCCCTCTATTGCTTCTTCCCTTGACAGGGCTGGAGATTGAACCCAGGACCTCATGCATGCTTGATAAGCATTCTGCCACTGAGTTATATCCACAGGCCTCTTTTAACTTTTTTTATTTGAGATAGGGTCGCCTTAAATTGCCCAGGCTGCCCTGGAACTGACTTGAAGCTCAGGCAGGCCTTGAACCTGTGAGCCTCCTGCCTCAGCCTCTGGAGTAGGTAGGTTTCTGCAACCAAGCTCAGCATCCTTTTCTTCTTCATTTGTTTTCTTTTCTTTACCTTCTTATTTTTACCCGAGCCTTCTCTTTGCATTTCCCTGCTGTCCCTTTGCTTCTCCCTTCTGCTTTCATTCCCTCACTGGACCGACACTCAGCTGCTGTTGCGTTGAACACACTGTTCTTTAGCCTGATTTTATCTTGGACTGTTTGCTTTGGGTGACTACTTCTTTGTGTTTGGATTTCCTGTGCTCAAAATCAATCAGGTGTCCTTTTGCTTTCCTTGCTTTCTTTTCTGTACAGGTGTAGAGACCACAGGATTCTTGGAGATCCCACCACCCCCACACACTCTGCTGCCAGGTGAGATCTGCCCAAGCTACTCTCATGCCTCTGATCCCTGGTGTCAGCTTCCTCAGCAGCCAGGATTGCAGGTGTGCCCTCACACCCAGTGTTTTCCAGCTTTTATTGCTTTGTCTTCGCCCGTGCATATTAGAGTCAGTGGAGAATATTTTTCTCCTAGCTTTATTATAAGCATCTTTAGATTTCTGGTTTTATCCCTCATCTGCTTTTTCTGTTTTTCTGTATACATTCAGAGAAATTAAACTTTACTACCATCTTCCTAGAATCCCTCCTCCCTTCAGTTCTTTGTGGCTATCAATCTGTTTATCCTTGAATTCATTTCTACTATAAATTGGTCCTTGATAAATAGCTAAATGTTACTTTTTCACTAATTTTCGTACTGTATATCATTCATTCATTGGGTTTATTCTCAGTACTATTTGAATAGATCATCGTCTTAAAGCAAAAGTGCCAAAATTAATCCAGCTATAATTTATTAAGCTCCACAATTAGTATGTTCTGTTATGTACCAGAAATACAGTAATAAAATATTTATACATACTGGCAGTCTTTTTTATTTGCAAATTCAGTTAGATAGTAAAAAAAAAATGATGGGGAGGATGAAATTCCTGAGGATGAAATTATTTGGGTATTCTTTGTATAGATTCAGCAAATGTATATGCAGGGCACTGTGATAGACTGTGAAGGTAGAGTTTACAAACACAGTCCTTATGTTTAAGGTCTTAATGCCTTGTGGGGAGGCATCTGAGTAACCAGGTAGTTAGAATGCTATATTGTGTTACCCTCTGTGTAAGTGCCAGAGCAACTTAAGTGCAAGAGCAACTTACGGTTTGTTGGAAGGGACAGGGAGGGAAGAGAGAATGCATTGTGCACATTGGAGAGTACAGCTAGCTCCTAGGGTCCTAGTATAATCTTTTCAATGCACCAAATCATATAATGCTTCAAAATATTATTTTCCTCATAAAATTCCAGACTCACTTATGTAGAGCCAAGTGACTCCTTGGGAAATTTAAATTGAGAAATTGAAAAGGAGTTGAGGGGAAAAATACAGTGTCAGCACAATAGTCTTTACTTCATGTAATGAGTTTACTTCACTTGGGAAAAACATCTGTTTGGATTTTGTATGTGTATATATGTGTGTGTGTGTGTGTGTGCGTGTGTGTGTGTGTGTGTGTGTGTATTGAGAAGTTAACTGTAAATATAATATCTAAGATGGAACTAGGCTAAAGGTAATATTTTTCTTTCTAGATCCTATACAGTGGTCCACAGACCAAGTCCTGCATTGGGTGGTTTGGGTAATGAAGGAGTTCAGCATGACTGATATAGACCTCACCACACTCAACATTTCGGGAAGAGAATTATGTAGTCTCAACCAAGAAGATTTTTTTCAGCGGGTCCCTCGGGGAGAAATTCTCTGGAGTCATCTGGAGCTTCTTCGAAAATGTATAAAATTAGAGTTATTGTCTATTTACATTGTAACTAAAGCTTAATTTTATTTTTTGTAACGTTTTCCTTTTATTCATTGTTATCTTAATAAGCAAACATTTAAACTCTAATGATTAACTTTATTCGTTGTTGTAGGTAGGGCCAAGAGCTCTTTATGTATTATCTCAGGTATTCCCTGTAATAATATAATAGTACTGTAACATACTGTTTTCCTTAGGTTTTTTAGTTTCTATATAGGAGAATGAAGCTGTGAGATCCCTAAATCCTCTAGGGATTTGCTAAACCATGATTCTCACCTGGGCTTCTGTTATAATCCAGTCTTTTTTTCTGAGGCCTTTCTTGTTATGTTGCCAAGGCTGGCCTGAAACCCATGGTCTTCTTACTGCAATTTCCCAAGTAGCTGGGATTACAGGTTGAGGCCACTATGCCTGGCTAGAGTCCAAGTTCTTAAGTCATGTGCAATGCTCTATCCTCAGCCCCTTTCATGTGTTCTAATCACTGCCTTCTGGTTCTCCAATTAGTTCTTGCATTTACTGCTGTTCCAGAACCTTGAGACCATTTGTTCAACAGGAGGAGGATTCCCTCCTGTTCTCTTATTCATTGGATTAAGACATTTAAATGCCTCGGCTATTAGTTAAATAAGGTTTTAAGAGAGCCACAGAGACTGTGGGCTATGAGGAAAACTTAGAAAGTGCCTGACTGACAAAAGAGTTCAAATAAGTATAAATTATTTTGTTTTAGTTTTTATCTTTCTTATATTTAATGACTTTTAAGATGTCTGTAACCCAGATGCTAACACTGCTTTTGTATATGGGCCATGTTAGTCAAACCTCCATACTTTTCAGCTTATGAGTAGGACAGATTCTACACTTTTCATAACAGTTAGGGGTGGAAATGTCACAGTTGCTACTTTGTTCTGCTGTGTACCCAGTAAGGAGGGAGCCACTGTAAAGGATCTTCCAACAGTAATTTCATGCTTAGTGTTTCATAAAGGTTCACCTCTGCTACTAAATGAGAAATGAGCCCTAGAGAGAAGCATTATTCTTCCCTCTTCTGGATTCTCTAAGATACTTTTTAAGGAACCTCACTAAAAGACTGACTGCATTCACTGGCGTATAGGGCTTGTTACCAGTTTCAGTTCTTACACATAAATGAGTTAATGTGTTGGTTTTGGTTTCAGGATCTTAACTGAATCATGTTATTTGAAACATTTTCTTATATGAATTGTCAAGAATATAACAGTGATAGTGCTTAGACTTCATAGTCCCCCCAGAACTCATGGTTTTTCCACTCGCTCCCAGATCAACTCTTTCTTGTCACTTTGTCGTTCTCCTGATGCTTTTCAAAATGTGAAACCCATTACTCCTTCATCCTTTTTTTTCTCACCAGAGGGTGAGAGTCTTGTTTATCTTTTCATTTTCATGCAATAGAATGGGTTTTCGTCAGAACAGCTCTGTTCTAGAATTGTTGGCTTCTTAAAAGCAACAAAGCCCTACAGCCTCATTAAGCATGTCACAGAATTGCTTGCTTGTTTGTGGGTCTATGCTCTGCCCTGCTGGGGAAATGGTGTCTGGTTTTAGAATCTAAGACTCAGTTCAACATTTACAGAATGGGCATGATGGTATATAAGGCTATATATAAGACAGACTTTCTAGTTCCTAAGTTTCCCTTCTCAGAACAGGGCTCTTTGAGTAGAAAGAAGAAAAATCTATAGCATATCCCTGAGAGGCCCCATTTCCTGCAACAGAATGGCTACAGACCCAGCTTGTTATCTAGTCTTCCTTAGTGATCTCTCAAAGCTGAAAAGAAACAGCCCCTTTTGTATCTTTGCTCACCCCCTTGGCCCACCTGCATGCAGCTCCCCTTAAGTTAAAACTTCATCTAAGTTCTGTTGTACTTGGGGAAGATAAATAAATAATTCCAGTAATACAAATTCTTAAGCAAGCTTCTTGGTGTGATGATTTATTTTCTGTCACCTTTGGTTTCTGTTGCAGGTCTTTAGGAAAAAGAACTGCTTCATACCTGTGGTACTACTGCTTTCTCATAAATGGCTCTGTGTCCCCCCCAGGTCTTTTTCTATAAGCACGCTGCTTCCTTTATACATGGCCAAGATTTGGATTGCTTTAGAGGAAGAATGCTATTCAGAATGCCTATATTTTCTTGGATTGAGCATTCAAAAGCCTCTCTTTCTATGTTCTGCTTTGCCTTAAGAGTTCCCAAGAACCAAACCAAACTAATATGAGAATCAGGCCTTCAAAATGGATTTTACAGGTGGCTCGTGTCTGGACTATGTGATGGTCACTTTCTCATTTGTCGTCTTTGAGGCAAAGCCACCCCCATTTTAATGACAAATTGAACAGTTTCAAATTTAATAGCACGTTTCCTCATTGAGACTTTTAAGAATTCTGGTGAAGATCTTTAAGAATGCTTTTAGGAGAAACAGCAGTTCTGGGAGAGGGAATGCTGAGAGCTAGAAGTCTGAATAAAACAGTATTCCATTTACTGGAAAGTTAACTTTGCAGGGTGCTTCTTTAAATATTTTTTAATCTTCATAATAGTCTTGTAAAGTGTGTATCACATTTGGACTTGAAGACGTTCATGTCTAGAGGTTGAAAACTATCAAAATGGTAGTGACTGCTAAGATTTTAGAAGTATTATAAAGTTAAAGCTGGTTTATTCAAAAGTGAATGTTGTAGCTAAAACATCTCTAGTTTTTGTGTGTGTGTGTTTTCATTTTATTTTGTTTTAATGCAGAATGTATAACTGA